TTACAAGTGAATCATTAATCAATGATCAAATAGATGTGATTAATAATGGTCGATATATATATAGATAAGCAATACTTTTCACATATGAAAAGTTAGATCCCATTAGTCAATCCATTAGTTCAATATTATAATAAAAAAAAGATACAAAAGGAAATGAATAATTAATAGCATTTTAATGTACGACATTATTTGGCTCAGCTATTATTTCTTTTGTGTCCAATGTTTGAATGTAACATAATAAAAATCACAATAAAGTCGATATAAATCTGAGAGGTGTTTATTTATTACTAAAGACCTGAATGGCTTAAAAAATATGTGATGATAAATGAAAAATAATTATAAATAATCAATCATTTGCACCATTGATTAAATTTAATGGACTTTATACTTGTTAATTTATTAGTTTATTCCATTTATATGTTTTTCTTTTCATTTCATATCTACTTTACCTTGCATTGTATCCATAAATAGGAACAATTACCATCCACTAAGTGTTTAAACTAGTTGTTAGTATCTCTTTATAATAATAATAGTAATATATATATATAAGACTTCATAAAAATAGTTTGAGATAGTTCAATTTCTACTACAGAATGTATTTAATTAATAACTTTATCCCATTTATAAAACAAACACCCCAATGCTGGTCTCACTAGTTTTCTCTTTTCATTTATTACTTATGAAAATAGATGAAAATTATTAAGAGCGTATCTGTGCATATCGTACTGAAGTCTGACAACGTTTGCATTGTCTACCAATTATATGTAAACTAACATATAAAAAAAAATTAGATAATTTTCAATGATAAATTTAAAGTAGTAGATTTTGCTTTGCTAAAAACAAAAATGTCTATTGTGACAAAATTCATACAATTTCTATTATTTGAAAATGAATATGTAAAACAAATATATTGTCTAAATAACGGATTTGGATGGAAATGGGCAACTTGTATGTACTATTTTTCTTATGCTAGGTTGGCAAACAAGCTGACGATCCACCTGAGGGAAAGTGGTAACCGTCGCCTATAGACATGAGCAATACCATGGACATAACAGAGTATACTGTGTCGCCCATGATACCCCCCATGCCTTGCCATTCCTGAGTACTCAGGTAATATTCCTCTGTACCTTGTAAATTCACTGCCATATCCCACCCTTCAAGCCGAAACACAGCCATGCAAACACAACTACTTCACAATAGAAACACGAACAGAACAGAGGTGCCCAAATAAACGACTATTACAAAGTCTCCCTCTGATAAGTCTACGTCTCCATCTATACAATAAAGTGTAAGAATTTCAATACTTAAAATGCTTTATTCTTTGGATCTAATTTGGGCCAACTCTTCTGTTCCCGTCGTAAGAGTTGACTAAAGGAGGGCGAGGGATGGACAGCAGCGTACCTCTTAAAACATCTCTAAAGCCTGACTGCGGTTGCCAATCCGCCTGCCTAGCGTGGCAACCACTGGTAGAACCCCCAAATGGAGGCTTATGATCAGCAGTGGACAGTTGAATGCTGATATAGTGATGATGATGATGATGATGATGATGTATTATTATGTTCATATTAAGTGTTGTATTGTAAAGAACTATATGTATTATTGTACACTATTGTAGGTACATTATTGTACATCGATCTATTACTACCGATATATCTGACATTGATGCTCCTTTCCACTTTGGGTATTGCTGGAAGAGAACTCTTTTAGAGTTAAGCTCGCTTTTGTATCAAATTTGATTATCTTTGTCATTGTTTTATATGTTATCAGTATGTACAATAAAGAATAAATAAAATAAATAACACTGTCGACGTAACAATAAATAAATTGAAGTCGCTGATTTTTTTGGCGAAAAAATCTACTTTCCTCTAAGTAAGTACTCGATGACAAAAGATATTTGGATACTTCCAAAGGCGATATAATACTGGATCAATTACCAGCATAGAGTCCGCATCATATCTTAGAGAAGCAATTTCGACTAAGTTGAACAATAAAACGTTGGAATGTCGCTGTCTTGCGAGACAAATTCCCGGACTAATATGAAATTCTATTAGGCAAGTAAGCCTACCAGAATGCATGTATTTTAACTAGACGGAAAAAGCCGATTTGTTTTTCCTAAATATTATATAAGACGTTAATGGAGAAAGGTATGGATGGTTCACTGTACGATGAAATAAAGATTTCGTATAGAATTTTTATTTAAAAGTTACATCTTTGGTGGGTATTATTTTTACTTTTAGGGTGGTCAAAAAGACTAGTCTGCTACATGCCTCTGTTTTCTAACCATAGACATGATTTCAATCATATTGAAAACAACTTTTAATGGAATTTGTTTTTGTCAAAAGTTATAAATATCGTACTCATTAATTCAAGGAAACCACCAGAGGGAGACTGTACAAATGTTGATTGCTTGGTCACTTCTGTCCAATTCGCGTTTCTACCGTGAAGCAGTTGTGTTTCGGTTTAAAGGGTGGGATATGACAGTAAATTTACAGGGTATAGAGGAATAATATCAAAGTCTTCAGGAAAGGCAACGTATGAAGGGTATTATAGGCAAAACAGTATACTCTGTTATGTACATGGTACGGCTCATGTCTATAGGCGACGGTTACCACTTTCTATCAGGTGGGCCGTCAGCTTGTTTGCCATTCTAAGTTGCATAAAAAAAAAACACTTTTGATATTAATAAAAATTAATTAGAAATAATCGAATGAGTTTATTCACTATTCCAATTTTGTTTAATATTACTGAACTTTATTTTCTTACACCATTCGTAAGCTACAGTAATCGATTACTATCAAACATGCATAATGGCTTGTTTACCACTATATGTTTTTTTTTTTTTTTTTTATACCACTGAGGTGGCAAACAAGCATACGGCCCACCTGATGGTAAGCGGTTACCGTAGCCTATGAACGCCTGCAATACCAGAGGTATTACGCGCGCGTTGCCGACCCTGAAGAAACCTCTTTACCCCCCTTTTGAAGAAGAAAGAATATGTTAAGAATATGAACTATAGAAGTATCAAGATAAAAACTTTTTCTCACAAAATTGGTGTATTTATAATAATAATAACTTCATTTAAACTAAAAATGTGGGTACACGATTAACTTATCAGTGATTACTACACTAGGCTCACATGTCTGTTCCATAGTAATCGGTGAGTGGCTAAATAAATTGATACATATTTATTGCTATTTTCATATAATTATTTAATATAATAATTACAAAATTGCATTGAATGATTATTTCGTTTGGACACCACCTCCATTATTTTTTACAATATGTACTAGATGGCGCCACTCGTCAAATTAAATCATAGATCGATTAGGTCGATTCTGAGATGCCATTTCTTAAAAACTATCTTAAAATCTTAGGATTAAAATTTCAATTTGATATTACAGCGAAATCTGTATTATTTGAATCAATATAAGCTAATTTTCTGATAGATTTAAGTCAAAATTATTGTAATTTTATGTTTATTATGGTCCATAAAACAGTAATTTCGAAAATAGTCACCATATACTAGGACAATAAATTTTGTTGCTAGTAACACCATTTATAGTGTAAAAATAAATGTCTAAACTCCTTTCTTGACACTGCAATTTCCTGAATTCTCAGACCTTAATATCATGTGGTCTTGTACCTATACCAAACCACGATTGGGTCAGATTTTTGCATATTTCCTCCTAGATATCTAGATAGCGATATTTCAAATAGATGTTTACACAGCACCAAGCCACTCGATCATGTCTCACATCGATAAAGATACGCCTTCTGGCGTCCAATTTCCCGCCGCGGTCGGCTTCAAGCTATATTTCGCCTGCCACGTCCGGATTCAGATTATAATGTTTTTTTATATGGCAATATTTTCTAGCACTGAGAGGGATATGACACATATTGTTGTAAAACGGTAAGATTTATCGACATCTAGTGGTTATATTCTGTAAATAAAATATCAGGATAGTGTAGGGGATATGGGACTTTATGGGAATAATACATGCTGATATGAGTATTATAGATGTGAAAGTGAATTTGTTTCTTACATCTTAGTGAAGAAGTTTTTTTTTTTAATGGATGATAATGGAATGGTAATTTCGCCTGCGCTATCAGTATACGCTAGTGGAGCAAGGGATGACAAGTGAGAATGGTTAGTTAATCCCTCGTGATAATGAATGCAATTCAGCGCGATGTTTTCCAGGGGAGACCACGTGGGGATGAACTTGACAGGGTATATTGCTAGCAATAGGATTAGTAGTACGCATTGCTAGCAATCGCTTCCCCCCGCTTGAAGAAGTTAGGTATACACGTACTATATGGGACGGATAAGGATATATAGGCCATTAATTATTCCGGTCAATAAACATATCCCTGTGTATTATATTTTCTTAAAATACTCGTATTACAGTAGGTAATAGTGTTTTAGCATGTTGAAAACGATCACTGTTTGTTTCAAAATGTAATTAGTAGATAGTTTCTTTTGTTGTAACATATATATGAACCTAATATGTACACTGTGGTATGTGTGTTCCTGTATGTGTGCGTGGACGCGCTTGTGTGTGTGTGTGTGTGTGTGTGTGTGTGTGTGTGTTTGTATGAATATATATATTGTGTTTGTAGTATATAAATAAATAAAATAAAAAAATGTCAAAGTAACGATTTATCATCAGCCGTCAACTGACCACTGCTGAACATAGACCTCCACCTTTTTTGGAAGAATTTTGCCAGTTGTTGCTATGCTTGGTAGGCAGATTGGCAACCGCAGTTAGACTTTGGTGATATTTTAAGAAATACCCTGCTGCTTATCCTTCCACCATTAAGCTCCCTTAGCCGCATCTTACGGCACCCGTGGAAAAGGAAGGGGTGTTCCATTCTTTGCCGAGATCACGTCGTAAATTAACAATTAAAATTCATGAATTTCCATCACTATTTATATAATATTAAAACAATAAAACAACAAAATGTTAAGAACAGTTTTATTTGTCAATTTAATTGGTGTAAAAGTATCCAGATTTCCAAGTGTTCCAAAAATAGTGTCCATTATAATGCAAAGTGCTCGAATTAATTCTATCGAAGCAAATGTAAACAAAGGCATCACTGTTGAGGTGATACTTTTTTCGAAAAACATTCATAAACAAAAACTAAAATAGAGATGAAGTATCCGAGTAGCAATACAATAAATGGCTCTTTTATTTCAGACATATCCGTTGAGTCATATCCATCGTAATACTTTATTTTCGATTTCAGTCGAGCTTGGAATTCCATCGTCTGTATGTGATGAGATATAAGACCATTATCTGTCATCTTATGTATATGTCTATTCAATGAGGACAGAACAGTCGAACCGCGAGTAAAGTACATCACTCTATACACATATCTTGCTGGTTCACGCACTCTATAAAGGTGAAATCGGCCAAAATTATCAATCATCTCCCAAGATATTAAATTGTAATAGGTGTCTGAAATTGAGGTAAACATTAGTTTATTACTATTAATCAGTTTTTCCATACATTCAGATACGACGTCACAAAAATCCATATCGTTCGTCTGATCTTCAAACTTCCATTTCCATGATTTAAGTATAATGGGTTTAAATGTTTTGTAAACTTGCTCTATATCGTTAACTTGCTGTCTTCTTATAGGTCTTGTGCTAGCACTCAGTAAAAAAGCTTGAATTATATTGACCATAAGGAAAACAAATAACAATAAACTCAATATTACAATCCGAGCAACAAATCGAGTGTTCAATTTCTTAACAGAAATATTCGTCAGAAAGTATCCGTAAACTATGAGCACGTCTCGAACTATGTCTTTTCCTTTTTTAACAAAAACTAGTAATAATGAAGACATTATGCAAAATATTACAAACAAACAAATCAAGAGAACACCGATAATGGAACTAAACCGATGAATGATAGCTTCCCACTTCCCAAGATCAGGTGTTCGAGCAATAATAATGATATCATGGTCAACCATATATGGATAACTAAAATCTAGTACAGCCCTTCTCTCCATATTGTATGAGAATCCTCCGAACATTCCAACTGCATGATTATGGTTTTCAGAAAGAAACGCATTGGCATCACTGAAGTTTTTTATAAAATTTTCTATTCTTGAACTTCTACCAGTATTTCTTAATTCAATAGTCATATTATGCCTTTGTTCCCATAACTTTAAAATGTACTCATCTATTCCACTTATGCCTTTTCCTGGAGCGTAATTGAATGGCTCGTATTCGCGAGTAAATAACTTCACCTTACAATCACTTGGAAAGACTGATATTCTAAAAAGAAAATTGTTTATTTCGCCAAGTTTTGTACAATTTGAAACCAATTGGAGTGTTCTCACTTTAGGCCTATTACAATTGTCTTTCACTGGTAAAAACCCGTATAGAGAGAAATTGTTGACTTCCTTTGTTTTTGTAACAACAATTACATTAAAAATATTATTTAATACGAGTAGTCTAGAAGTTTCATTCATAAATCCAATCATATTATTAATAATAATTATAAATTTAGCTCTTGGATTCCAGTAAGTATCTTGCTTCAATTTATCGATTCCATTGTAAAGTTCATAATAGTTTTTGCTTCGTATCAGATATATTTGGTTAGAATAAGGTTGGTTTTCCCATAAAAATGATCTTATTACAACTCTGTATTTTTGTAAGTCATTAAGAGTTTTGCCAATCGCATCATTGGAATTTGCTAATGTAATATCTTTAAAGGAATACGCAGTTCCAATTTGATTCATTATATTTTTCACACAAATGCCCAAATAATCTTTATTGTTAGTTGGCAATTGAAAAATGGCATCACTTTTACACAGTAAAATATAAAATATAACATAATAGTTATAATTCCACATCATGATTATGTAATCTGTTTATATCAATTCACATGTACCTGTATTAAAAAATCGACTGTATTATATTTTATTTATAGAATTTCAATACGTAGTTAAACAATTAACACCTTTACAAACTGTATGTATACCTTTACAATGAACTAGGCACGACACAACACGTATAGTAATTATCTGCTCGATTCAATATTGCGTCTAATTTGTATTCCATTAATTCATACTTCAATTTCTAATAGAAAGAAATTTCAGTAATGGCATTCAAACATATAACTATTAATTCTTTTATATTCTGCATAATGTACATTAGAGTGACAATAAAATAATTAGATTTTATTCTAAATATTATAGAATACGTGTAAAAGGTGTCATTAAAATTTGATCGAAAATAATCAATCATGCCAGTGATTGATTTACATTAATATGAAAAAAAAAAACATTAAATAACTAATAAAGTTTACTTATTTATTTAGTTAAAAGATATTAGACTTTTTCGAGTTTCTTCAAGAGTAACTCTGGAACCTAAGACCCTAATAACGGAATGGCTCTAACCATGGTCAACATCCAGCAATAATAATGATAATTTCAGTTCATTTAACAGCTCTTAAGAGTAGAAATACAACTATTAATTTTATAATCCGTATGAAACTTAATAAGAATATAAATTCAATAAAATACAAGGGCTTTGTCGTGTTAGCCTCGGCACAGGACGCGGACTTGGCTAGCTTCCAATATATTATTCTAAATATATTATTATTTTACAGCTTAGTATTATCTTTTCTGTATTGAATTCAACTAGCTTACGATCACCATAATTGTCATCATCATCATCATTTCCTGCTCATCTAATATTTCGAGATACTGTTCCATAAAAGACTTACTTGATACGAGACATAACAGCTTATTCCTTAGGAATAGCAAAACATGAGGGTAATTATTTATATCAGTATGTTCTATGGCAGGGGTTCCTAAACTTTTAAGACAACGGAACGCTCCCCAAATACCCTATGTTATGGAACCCCATCTACATCTTCACTAATATTATAAAGAGGAAAGATTTGTATTTTTGTGTGTGTATATGTTTGTAATGAAGAAACTCAAAAACTACTTTGCCGATTTCCAAAATTCTTTCACCATTGGAAAGCTACATTCACACTGAGTAACATAGGCTATATTTATTGCTAGAAAAGATTAGGGATCCTTACTAAAACTTTAGTAACGTAACTCAAGGTGTAAAAAAATGCTATATCTTTCGTCGCGTGCGCTGCGGAAACTAATGGTGATAGAACAAAAGTATGTTCTACAATATTGAAGAAAATATTAATAACTACAAAAAACTTTGTGATACTATATGTCCAACTATTATGGTTATGTCACAATAACCACTTTGTAAAATATTGTAAAAATGACCACCCGTACGAAGCCGGGACGGGCCGCTAGTATTAAATGATTACAAATCAAAAACACTGTAATTTAAATAAAAACAAAAGCTTTTATTAGAAATATTTCGAAAAACATAGTACTTTATAGTTTCCTTTAATTTTTAAATGTGATGAATGAAATTGTTTCACTATATTAACAATTTCGCGAAACCTGGTGACTTTTTCACGGAACCCCCAGGTTCCGCTGAAACCACATTGGGAGTCGCTGTTCTATGGTTTTCGTAGTACAGATCATATCTATAGACAATAGGTACCACTTTCTATCAGTTGACTTGTTAGTGTGTTTGCTATTCGAAATAGTATAAAAAGCCGGTCAAGCGCGAGTCCCGCTCGCGCAACGAAGGTTCCGTACAAAATCATCAAGGTTAAGATTTGTATTTTGGAAAATAACTACATATTTACGATTTTCAGATTTTATCCTTTACTTGTGCTACATGATATTGCTTCTTGACAAATTTAATGATTCTCGGTCAACGGGAAGTATCCTAAAAGTTTTGATTCTCTTTGCGATTGACAAAATATGCGATATAAATGAAACATAAACGGCTGTAACTTTTGATTGCATCAATTTAAAAGCTTTATTTTTTTACTGCTTTAAGAGATTGCTGACCTGAATATATGATATTAATTTCAACTTGATACCTCCACGCGTTTCTAAGAAAAAGGATCTTGACAAACGGACGGATGGACGGATATGATCCTATAAGGGTTCCGTTTTTGCCTTTGGGCGTATAGAATCCTAAAAATCAATAAAACTTTTAATACTGTATATTTGAATAGAAAATTCTAATGGATCTCTCTCGTGCGTAATCTGATACGTATAGGTAAAGTTTCTAAAACTTACTCATGTAGCCACTGAATCAAATATATATTTTCTTACAGACGTATCGAAGGTGAAAGCCGCAAACTTTTTCGGGTAACGTCCAATCTTCGTATTTTAATACTTTATCTGCCCGAGTGGAGTGAAAACGAACATTTTCTTATGAACCAAGTCGAATGTTCCATTATTAAGAAGCTATTGAAGTGTCTAATCTATCGAATCATTATTCAAATAATTTATTTGCGGAATACTATGTTACAAAAGATCTTAAAGTATAGCATTTATCCAACGTATTCTGCCTGTTGTATACAGTAATGGGTATATATATATATATATATATATATATATATATATATATATATATATATATATATATATATATATATATATATATATATATATATATATATATATATATATATATTTCTCAAACATGCTTGGAAATGTAAGCATTATTTTGACCATCTTCTTCGAGATAAATCAAAATTGCCGTACTGACCAGATACATGCGGGCAGCGGCCGGCAAAAGTTGTATGATAATCCATATCTGTCGTGTTTTGCGGCCAGATAAATTACTATGTAAACTCATATCTGTCCTGTAATTTAAAAATGGAATGACCTTTTACTTCGAAACATGGCTACCAAGGAGGTAACTAATAAAAGGTTTTAGTTAAATTTTGAACTGGCTTGCAAATAGAAAGCTGTTTATTGAAAAAAAAAACAAATGAATATTATGGCGCGTGAAAAATTATTCTTGTTCGTTATTCGTCATTGAACTTAAAAAGTAAAATTGTGTTTATTATTTCCGCGCATTGTTTGAGAAAAGTACTATACAAGCCTTGGCCACAACTAGGCATTGATGGACTCACGTATGTGTGCCTCGGCTGCGTTTCGGCCCACATTTACACGTTCGTCCATTAATGCCTCAGTTACTGGCCGCTGCTGTAATGTACTATATAATGGGTGGCATGGTAAGGCATGTAAATTTTTTTTATACCACTGAGGTGACAATCAAGCATACGACCCACCTGATTTAAATTTAAACATTAATACATTAACTGTTAATATATATGCAGCTATTAATAATATTATATAAAAAAATCATCGCAGATATGTATCATTATCATTTTCATCATATCAGGCTTTAACCGTCCACTGCTGAACATAAGTGTCCCCATGGAGTGGTTTGCCAGTAGTTGCCACGCTTGGCAGGCAGATTGGCAACCGCAGTTAGGCTTTCAGAGATGCATTAAGAGGGACGCTGCTGCCCATCTCTCGTCCTCTCTTAGTCGACTCTTACGATACCCACGGGAAAGGAATGGGTAGGCTGTTCCATGCCAATTTGGCAATGGCAATTTTTGAAATCCACAAAAAAAACTGCATAATTTTGATGATGATAAACTTAATATGGCAACAATACATGATGATCTCTGACACAGCTGTAGGTCTATTACGAACGTAATTAGGTTCCGGGTCCAATTCTCGGTCGAGACAATTTACGAAACGGACTTTACTAAATTTGCTCGGGCTAGGTTGTGTTTTCAAATCTATTGGTTTTACTAAGACCCTTCATATTAATTTTCTTTAAATATATCCCATCACCATTATCATCATATCAGCCTTTAACTGTCCACTTCTGGACATAAGCCTTTCCTTAAGGGGTTTTGCCAGTAATTTTCACGCTTGGCAGGCGGCTTGGCAATCGCAGTTGGTGATCTTTTAAGAAAAACATTGCTGCCCATCCTTCGAACATTAAGCTGTCTTAGTCGCCTTTTATGATATCCACGGAAAAGGAAGGGGTAACTCATTCTATAGCGGGACCACACGACAACTTTAATTAGACATTATTGCATAACTTTTGCAGCTTTGGGAGACTTTGTAGAAGTCTTTTGTTTGTTGTTACTTCCTTGGGTAACTCTGTTTCATTTGTGTTTTTAGTCTACCGTGAAACAGTCGTGTTTCGATTTGAAGTGCTTTTTAATGGGTGTTAATGAAATGGTAACCTCATCTGCGCTATCGGAATACCCGGGCACCAGTGAGGAATGACAGGTAAGGATAAAAAGACAGATCAGTTAGCCCAGCATGACGAATTCTACTAGGATTAACCGCGACGGTTTCCAGGGGAACCGCGTAGACCTGATAGGGTGTATTGCTAGCAATGAGTCAATTAGGCCTCATTACTAACATTCCTTTTCCCCCCGATTTGATGGATGGATTATGACAATGAATTTACAGCCTGCAGAGGAATAACAGCTGAGTCCTCAGGAATGGCAACGCATGAGGGGTACCATGGGTGAAACATTATACTCTGTTATGTCCATGGTACTGCTCATGTCTACAGGTGACGGTTACCACTTTCCATCAGATGGACCGTCAGCTTGTTTGCCATTCTAAGTTGCATAAAAAAAGGAAGGTATATGCTACATAACATCACGACAACAGCACGAGCAATGCCGCAGGATGCAGCTAGTAACACTACAAAATTTCAATGTTACAATCAGCATTCTATACAATTTGTTTTTTAGAAGTATATTTTCCTTTTCCACTTGATTGAGCATATCGGTAACTGAACTGAATGAAAAAATAAACATAAAAGAAACAATAGGGAAAATCAAAAGGGCGTATAACAAT